AAAGTAATTATTTTCTATTATTTTTTTTAAATTTTAATAGTTATTAGAATTTTTATAGTTATTGGTAAAATGTTATACACGGTTCTCATAAAACAATGATAAACATTATATTCAGAATAACTTTAAGTCAATGACTAAAGAATACAAGGACGAATAACACCTTTATTTTAATCAAAATTCAGTTCGATTGTGTAAATTAAAGTTCTCAAAAAAAAAAATATTTGTCCGAATATTTAGTTGTTAGGGCTAGTACCTACTCCTAAAATCCTAAAATTCTTTTAATAAACGGACTGTTTGAAAAACCCTCTATACTGATGATATGATAATAAAATTCAATATTTCGATAAGTACTCTATTTATTAATCGATTTACACTGACTGCCTTACTTTGAAAAAAAAATATTTAGCTACTAATAACCAAAAAAAAATTAATATTTAATTTATTACATTGTCTTTATGGAATATTTATCCTCTTGTATATTTTTACTAGAAACGGAAAAATAATTGTTCAGTCGAGAAAAAAAACAACCGCTGCCCCAAAGAACGAGACGTCACATTCAAATTGAAAAGCCCACAAAAATATTTAATTTCCTGAGATTAGACGGGGTTTCACTTAAAAAATGACGTCGTGTGGTTGGATAGAAGCCAACGCAGTGCAAGGCCTTCGCGAAATTTAGAGCTGGAACTCTGTAAACCCAAGTGCAGAAATCGAAAACCCAACCGACAACGCAAATAGACCGATTGATAAACAAATGTAAAGATTTTATAAAACGTTGAAATATAATTATAGGAGATAAATAATAATAATAATAAAAAGATACCATAAATATAAATCAATTAAATTAAGTTTTAAAATACGGTAACAGAATAGAGTAACGTTATGATTGAAGTTAACAATAATTTTGTTTCATTTTAAAACTTTTTTTAAACAAATTTCCATTGCCAGAGAGTGTGTATCAGCTCAGAAAAAATATGTAATATATTACTTAATATCGTTAAATATATTTATTCCCCCATATTGATTAAAAAATATTATACAATATCATACAAAAAGTTAGGACTTTTGTTTAACTGCAGATCTAAAGCATGTATTAGGATGTATTTCAGGAAAATATTTTAATCTCTACAGGGTGCCTCAAAAAAGTGTGAGTGAATAAGGATGATTTTTTTTTAAATGGAACACCTTGTATATTATTGTATTTTTGGCTTCCTTTTTGATCACTCATATCATATTGTATGCTACAAAATATAAAATAAAGATCGTAAACACGTAAAATAAAGATCGTAAACAAATTAAGTTATCTCAGGTTATGATTTTTTTTGGTAACTTTCAGTGGAGCAAAAATGAAATGTCCCTAAAAATTCGCGACTGTATGAAATAGGTCCAAATTTTATGAATATTTTTTGGCGAATCGCTTTCCGCAATTCGTAATTCGCGTCTACATGAAACAAGCTTTAAAAAAATTATTAATTATGCAAGAACTGTCCTGAAATCAAAACTATATTAGGTATTTACTTTAGATGGTCTGTGCTTTCTTTGCTATAAATATGGTAGTCGTAAAACATACAGTATGTTCAAAATTCTACGCCAAACTTTATTAAACAAAATTTCCAAGTTTTTTATTCTAGGGGCTAGAGATGCCCGGCGCCCTATAGCCGGACCCTGTATAAAGTTGACTGTATGAAGTTGTAGAAAATTTGGGATGATTGCATTTAGTATTATTTTAACATTATGCTATTGGTTAAATTATTCATAAAAACGAGAAAACCCCATTAGCTGGTGTGTTTGATCTGTTACATTGACAACATTCCTTAAATTGTAGAATATTAATTTTGGCAACGTCGCCGTTGAAAACGCATCAAATAATGCGAACATTAAAGTAGTTATAGACGAGTAAATGGAGATTTTCTAGAAGTATAAAAAACGAAGGGCAATAAAACGGGTAAAAAAGATAGCTGTAAATGTTATACACGAATAATAAGCATGATACCGTTCACCTTCATTCATGAAATTATGATTTCAAAATTGTGTTTTTTATGCATAAGATAATGTTCGAATTTATTAACAACGGAAGTACTCAAGATAATTTCTAGTGGCACTTCATATTGCTTCAATTCTTTAATTTTACTTTTTTTTGTTTCAAAAAATCTCTAAAACTTCTTAAGCACTATTTTTCTAACGCCTTATATACTTGTATTCATTTAAAACTTCCCAATATGGCGGACTTCAGTATGGGAGGCTTAAAAAACGAAAATCTCTAAACTGGAATCGACTGTACTTCAAATCGTTCAAATTGATAATCTGTGGTAAATCCAATTGAACTCTGACACTTGGCTGACATTGACGTTTACGGTGCCTTTTTCTAAATATTTTCATTATTTTTTGAGTTTTTATTCACAAATTCTACTTGATTTTGTTCTTTTATTTAACCTGCAACCTGCAGTACTAATTATATAGTTATTAATAATCTTTTCACCGGTCAAGAATTGACGAATAGGCTGGAAGATATTCAAATTGTGTAAAACGCTTAAAAACGTATTAGAAAACATTGACTCGTTCACAAATTCGTGAAAATAAATTAGTCCAGATGTTTGTAAAAAGGTCTCTAATTATATTATTTTGAGAAGTTTCCTCGTATCAGTAATTTTCAGGTTTGTAATATGTACTATATGATAATAAATAGATTAAAACTTATATTTCAGGAAACGCGGGCATTACAGATTGTTGTAAATCAGTTTTAAAATATAAAGAAGGTTTAAAACAGGTTTAAAAGTTGAGTTAGTAGAGAAGACCTAAATGAGGTAATGTTGGTAATGGGACGAAACATCAAATAACACTTGAAATATATAATTATGTACAATAATTGTAAGTAGTTTTTATGAATCTGTTTGATATCTATTGCATTGTTTTTATATTTCTTAAAATATATATTTTTTACTTTACAGGATACACAAAGAATAATAAAAAAATACAGTTACTCACTAAAAGCACTTAAGGTTTGTAATAGATGTAGTTAGAATATCAAACACCAAACCAAACCAAAAATTATGTTTTATTTTACTGGTATTCCTCATATTTGAAGTGAAAGTCGTTTCATAAATAAGCAGGACATTGTATAGTACACTCTATATTAATAATTGTTTTTTATCCTCTACTTGTTAGTTAACGCATCACTTACTAGGTATAAAATTTAGTACTGATTAACCTATAGTTGTGGTTGTGATATATTCTCATGTGTTTCTGGCAATTTAAAATAACTTAATATTTAAACAAACATTTCTGGCTTTCCTGACAGGAGTGTGGACACAAATTTAATAAAGTATAATGTGGATAATGTTCTGATTATTACGGTTTGCATGGATGTTTTTGTATGTTGTTATTTTTAATAAAATATATTTAATGAGTTTTTGAGTATTTCTTTTTCTTTCAGAGGATTGTGTTCTAATCTCTATATATTATAAATTTTCATAAATTATATCTACAAAATTTATTACCTTATAATTTTTTGCTAAATACTTTGTAGTTGATACAGTTTAACAGTATATAAAAGAACTATTTAAATAAGATGTTTGAAAATATATAGCTGTTTTTGCACACATCAATTCAATTTGTGATTAACTGTACTGAAATAAAAACAAATTAAGAGAAATGGGGTGATCTATCAACTATAACATGAAAAGCATCATCCTATTTCCAAGTCTTCTATTAATTTCACTTATTAAACAACTATAATTATTCAATAATCTTGATAATTCTAGGAACTCTCAGATATCGTCAAAACATGAAAACAAAAATTTACTTCCTATAGTTCTTACGTCCCTTTAACTGAAATATAAGAAACAGGGGAGTTAATATTCTCACTGAGAAAGTTTATAAAATACCTTTAAGTAAAATCTCTTCGGATCTGCGGTAAAATACCTTTATTCTTATTAAATAATTTCAATAATCTATGTTTTTATTTATGACAACCACCTAATAACCTAACTTTAACGTCAACTTGACAATCCTGAAAAATATTATTTTTAACCAAAGAGTAAAACAATTTCTGAATTCGCTAACGCCAACTTATTTTTCATTAAAAAAAAATTACCAATTTTCGTAACTAGGTCGGCCATATTGAGGAACTTTTAAAAGAATAGTACTATACCATCTATTATATTATAATTTTACTGCTAAATTATAATGTTACGTTATGGAAGACATCTATCCATCTTTAAATACACCAGCGATTAATAAATTTCATAAACATTTAGGTGATCTTAAAAGTATTTCATTTATCATTAAAAAAGATCTGTTAATTATAATTGTGCGGTCAATCTGGCACCTTTAACTCCCCTCAAATTACCCCCACTTTCATACTTCGCCAGTCGTAAGAGGTCCACTGGAAAAGCTTAAATTCGAAAATTCGTATCCCCCCACCCCACCGTTTTTGAGAAACTCAAATTTGGATTCGATTTTCTGGCCGAACCGTAGAGGTCCCACCGAAAATTTTACGGAACAAAAAATGAAGAGAATTAAATTCTCTACATTTTCATCTCTAAGTAGCAAACCTCTAAAACCTACGAGGATAAAGTTAGAGGGCGCCAAAGTCACTCAAACGCGGTTTTTTAGCATTTTTCTGGGTGAAACCATTTTTTGACCGTCGCAAGTTTTTAAAAGTAAAGAGCATAAAAAACCTATCATATTGATGTGTAACTTTTTTTTTACGTTTTACTGTTTACAAGATATACAGGGTGTCCCAGAAATAAGTGCAAGTATTTAAGGGGTGGTAGATCTCGATAGAAGAAACATATTTTCTCTTTATCGTTTTTCAAATAAGTCCAAAATAACGAAGTTATTTTACTTTGAAAATTTCCAAAAAAAAATGTTTTTTTGTTAAAATTTTGAGGACCACTGGATCTTTTCTGGATTTTCTTTCTTGGAAATTTAATCTAATACCTATGTTGCCATATTATCAAGAAATAATGTTTCTTAACTAAAAACTAATATCGAATTTCCCAAAAAAAAATTTCGCGAAAAAAACCTCATAGGCGTGTTTCTGGGGTTGAACTATACTACCAGTATAAATACTTCCACTTATTTCTGGGACGACCTGTATAAGTTTTACGAAATATAGAAGTTACACATCAATTTGATAGTTTTTTTTATGCCCTTTGCTTTTAAAAACCTTGCGACAGTAAAAAAATGATTTCATCCGGAAAAATGAAAAAAACTGCGTTTGAGAGACTTCGGCGCCCTCTAACTTTGGCCCCGTAAGTTTTAGAGGTTTGTTACTTAGAAATAAAAAGGTAGAGAATTTAATTCTCTTCATTTTTTGTCCCGTAAAATTTTCTGTGGGACCTACGGTTCAGCCAGAAAATCGAATCCAATTTTTTTTTCAGTTTCTGAAAAACAGTGGGGTGGGGGGATACGAATTTTCGAATATAAGGTAATTTGATGGGAGTCTAGACCTTTTTTGATGCCGGATTGACTGTACTATAATTACTTTTTAATTATTTATATAGCCATAATTTAAGGTTTAATCATAATTATTTGTGCATATTTTAAATTTCCTAATGGAAAAATAATACACATCAATCAAAAACTAATTAAAAAGACAAGATAGACACATTGGTATCTTAAAACTCTTTAACAATGGCAAATTTATTTTTGATTACTATTTTTATACCTTTTTCCCAGAACCCATTAAAAGAAATAACTAACATATTTATTGTTACCCTCGTCCATTCTTTATTTCTTTTCCTGAACTGATATTTTTAAAACGAAACCAAACTATCGATTTCAATTTAACGTTACGCCTTATAAAATGTACATAAAATAATTGAACTAAGAAATGTCACATCATACTATACTTGCGATATACCTCCGCCACTGCCCACCTCCATCATTTCCGTTGTACAATTATTGTAATTACCTCGACGTATGGGAATACCGTAATTAGTTCTCAAACTAGCCCCGCCTCTGGAAGGCCCCCCGGACGACGATTCCGGGACTCCAGAGGGCCCTTCGAAAGGACACCCGGCATCCAAAAAGCTGGAAATTCCCGCCTGCTGCTGCAAATTCGAGCTGGAAGGTATGGAAGGCAGATTGAAACCAAAAGGATGGTGTTGTCTGTAGGAAGAGCCTAGTTTTCTCGGAGAGCGCGATTTCGATATCAGGGGCTTATACATTTCTTCTAAGATCGATGGAGCCACATAAGTAAATCCCTGTAAAGCCAAGCATTAACTATTTGTTGTTGAATTTATTCGGTATCTATTGGTGAACTTGCCTCAAATATCATATTTACACTTTCGCTTAAAAACGAATCCACTGGAGAATCAACTGGAGTTTGTTTCGTAAATTTTGGATCAAACTGTGAAACATCGTCGTCGCTAGACTGAAAATTCGATTATATCAGAATCAGGGTTGGGTAGGTAGAAAATTTTATATTTTCTACACGTAGAAAATTATTTTTTTACACCAACTAATTTTCTACATTTTTTGACATGTCCAGACGTAGAAAATTAGTTTTGTATATTGTAAGCCTTTTTTAAGTTTATATATATTTCAAATACTTCAATCCCAACAATTAGTTCAAGAAATAAACAAATAACAATATCTTCAATTGTTATTTATTATTTAACAAATGGATATAGTCTATAAAATGAATAACCTTGAATTTTTACCGTTATTTTTTACCAACATGGCAAATATAAAATCCCTCTGCCAAAAAAGTTACTGATATTCTTTAAACTGAGTGCTTGAACGAATCAGATAGGTACTCTTTATACTTTCGTGAAATAAAAAAGGAAAATAATAAAACAAGTGACAGTTCTTGCAAAAATCAACACGAATTGTCATAATTGTCAAAAATAAAATGTCATCACATTTTGACATTTCTAAATATCAGATCAATGCCGTCTCTAGTAGAACAGCCCCGGAGCGAGATTTATGACGTCACGCTAGTTAGATACTACGGATTAATAAATATTATGTTGTAGAATACATGGAAAACATAATTACTCCTCGTATTTTTGGTTTATATTTTAAAAATGATTTATATGTAATTTTTTTGATTATATTCGACACTATTTTTTTCATATGACACAAAACTGATGAAGGCTATAATGTTAGCTGAAACGTTTTTTTTAACCAAAAAAAAATAATGAAAAACTAAATGAAAACTTAATCAGCGTTTTTCCCGAACCTAAATCCCAAGAAATAAAAAATTTTAGAATAATTTTACATATAAAATGACAGGGAACTTTATTTCATAGCCATCGTTGACGCCCTTTTTTCTATGATATTGTATTATTTGCAAATATAATTTTTCGAACATTGTTACTTGCGAAATATACATATAAATTTTGTGAATGCAAATAATAATACTCACTATTAGTAGATATTGATTTTTTTTTGTTAAATTAGATCGATTTTCAAACCCCAAAATTTAAAATATATTTTACATTTTACCCATTATCTTATGTACCTATTCATTATTTGTATATTGTAGAACATTTGCTGCATTTGTATGGTTCATAGTTTATTTGCCAAAGTATTTATTACTATGAATAGGTATATATATTGTATTTATTAAGTGTATATTATGTATATTTCATGTAAACTATATCATTTTTAAAAATAAATATGTATTAATAATTATGTTTTCCATGTATTCTACAGCATATTTATTATAACGTAGTATCTAACTAGGTTGACGTCATAAATGTCGCTCCGAGGCTGTTCTATTAGAGACGGCATTGCGTCAGCATGGCCGCAAGTTGCTAACCATAGAGGTTAAAATAAATATTGCTAACCTAATAAAATTAACACTAGAAAAGCCCGCGGGAACTGTCAAATTCAAAGTTATTCGTTTCACAGACTATAGTATATAGTATGTCAAAAAAAAGCTTAACTAATAACTCCCATAGTATTTTAACTTGATATGTACAACGGGAGGATGCGTGACAGTGACTGTTGTGTCATTATAATTCACAGGCATATCGTACCTTCTGTCATCTGTCAAAATCTTCCTTGATTTGTTACACACTATAGTCGAAGTTTACAGATATCTTAAAAGTTTTCAATACTAAGAAAAAAAAATTACAGAATAATCCTATGTAATTCTGTGAACTTTGGCAAGACTCAAACAGAACATCAAAAAAAAAATAACATCTAACATAATGAAAATAACAACTACAAACTACAATAATTATTATTATATGTATATAGTTTGTGAAACCACAGGCTTTCTATGGTAAAATTAAAAAAAAAGGAACAACAAAAACTTTCAAATAAAAAAAATCAGACTTTTCTATATGGTCTTCAGATTAAACAGAAAAAAATATTCTAATATTCTTTAGATTGATATACTGTCTTATCTTCAGGGAGTTAGTACCAGGGTTCGGAAAACTACATGTTACTTTTAAAAACTACATAAACTACATTACATGTAGTTAATGTAGTTTATGTAGAGGGTGTAGTTTATGTAACTTATGTATGTAACTTTCAAATGTCAAAGGTTTGAGGTGAGAAGAACAGAAGAAATATGGCTTTAAATATAATATTAACATTATATTATCTCTATTACACCTCATACAAATGAAAATTATTCATAATATCAATACATAGTTTATTAACGTAGTTTTCATGTAGTTAATAAACGAGAAAAGACGTAGTTTTTGCAGAAAAACTACACGTAGTTAATCAGGTAAATTACGTCTTAATTAACTACTTCCGAACCCTGGTTAGTACTGTCACAGAATAGAGAGATAGCGCACGCACATATATTACAGTTTTAACATTTATAGAATTTAAAGAAAATAGAAAGAAAGAAACCTCTAAAGTGAAGAAAACGGCTTTAAATATATAAAATTAATTTTGTACCAGTTCTCAGATTTTAAGGATTTTCTACTATCAGACATTTTCTACTTATCAATGCACGTTTCTACATACACGTAGAAAATTAATTTTCTACGCGTCTTTACCCAACCCTGATCAAAATCCAAGTTAAACCCAAATCTATACACTTACCACACAAGGTTTATATGGAGGTTCTATCCTCTTATTTAAAACATCGTCCCAATTAATATGCTTGAAAAAAGGATGCTTTTTGATCGATTTCGCATCGTCCGGTGGCGCTCCTAATCTATCTTGGGGCTTCTTTTTCAACAATCTGCGCAGTATGTCTTTCATATCGGTGGTCATGTATTGAGGAAACGTAAGTTTACCCCTTAATATTAATTCGATTGTTGTCTTTCGACACCCACCGTGAAAAGGTGGCTAAAATATAAGTATATACAATAATAAAATACCCCATTAAACTCATATACTTACAGCTCCAGTTGTCATATCGTAAAGAAGAGCTCCTAACGACCACCAGTCAGCCGCTTTGCCATGTCCTTGCCTTAATATGATTTCTGGAGCCCTAAAAGTTATCGCAGTTAAATAATTTCTCTTTAATTTTACTTAAAAATGGCATACATACATATATTCAATGGTACCACAAAAGGTTAATGTTCTAGTATTGTCTTGGATGTGCTCTTTTGACAGACCGAAATCTGTGAGTTTCACGTGTCCTTCTTGGTCCAATAATATATTTTCGGGTTTTAAGTCACGATAAATAATTCCTAAACTATGTAAATGCTCAAGAGCTAATATAATTTCAGCTAAGTAGAATCTAAAATAGAGTTTACAATAATATAGTTCTAAATACACAAAATAGAATTAATATAAATCACTCACGCTGAGCAGTCTTCCATAAATATGCCTTCGTTTTCTAAGTGTGTGAAAAGTTCTCCACCATTTAAATATTCTAGTACTAAATACAATTTACCGCCAGTTTGAAAGGCATAATTTAGCTGGACAATAAAAGGATGCTAAAATACACATAAGAAACATAATTAATTCATGATATTTCATTTAAAATATATACAAATATCATACCATTACACTTTCTAATATGTTTCTTTCTGCTTTTGTATGCGATACATCTTTTTGATTTCTTACAATGGAAGCCTTCCTTAAAACTTTCATCGCAAAAATTTTCCCCGAATCTGCTCCTGATCTTTTTCTACATTGGAACACCTTACCGTATCCCCCCTTACCAAGGACCTTGAGTAAATCAAAATCCTTCGGGGACATACGCTCTTGTGTCGGATTTACATTAGCCTCTGTCAATTCCAAAGTTTCGAAATCACCATCGGTTAAACTATAACATGTAACAATTTATTAAACTAAATAAAGTATTGCAAATATTTATAGAGTTTTTGTTAGAAACCTGTCAATATATCAAAGATTAATAGCTGCCCTATTTCAATATTATACTTTACCATTAGGAAAATTATGTTTACCTATTTAACTGGTTAAGTATATATTGTGTGTCTATAAATAATGTTTAATCTCAATAATCTAAAAACTCTCTGAAAGAACAAATATTACTTATAAAGAAATAATTTATCTCCATCCTTTTTAAAATAGCTGGCACATCACATAAACAAAACAATGTATAATAAATTATTTAGTATAATAGAAATTTGCATTACTGTTGTGTTTGAAAATAAAACTGCAAACAATTAATTTGTTGTAAAATTTATACACCTACTGTAACTTATTATCTACTTACTCAATGACTTCATTTGGGTCTGGATTTTCATTTATAAATTGACCCTAAAAACAATAAAATTTAAAAATCGAATCATACCAAACAACGCAGTTAGTTAAAACAACTTTTCCTTTATCAATGAAACAGCATTAAAAACTATTGAAATCTGGTATCAAGGATACATTTTTATATACATAGAAAAAGAATGAATGGGAAACTAAAATATATTTTTAAAGGTGTATATATGAAACAGTAAATTGATAGTATCTTTAGCGTAAGTTATGCGACTAAATATAGCAAAATTTTTAGAAAAAGACTGTTTACCTCTGAAAGTTGTATCTCGTTATCGTCACTGTCCGATACCTCCACTGTCTCAACATCGTGAAGCTCAATATCAAATACGGTAGCCATTTTATTCGTTTTCCATCAAACTTTTACATTTAATAGAAATAATCAGGAACTGTCCAAGTTAAAAAGTTCAAAATTGAAGCGTGATTTTTTAATCTTACGAAATAAGACAGAAGCAAACACGACAACGTAAATGAAGGTTATGTTGCTTTTCCAATGTCACCAACCTATGCACCAACCATAAAATAATAGATGTAAAGTCCCTAGATATATAAAGTTACCAAATGGCTACCAACGAAAATATTTTTTGTGGTACCAGAGGTGGTACCCTTTCTTATTTTAAAGTTCAAGAGCGAATTAAATTTAAAACTAATTTAAATAAAAAATATCAAAAAAACCTTGTTAACTCGATTTTTATTCATATAGTTAAACATTTTATCCCTTATCTGTCGCATTTCTAATATTATTTATTGAAAACTATTGAAATATATAATAAAAATACAAAAATTCCCATCAGCAGTATCTATACAATTCAAAATTTGATATTTATAGTGATATAGTAGCAGATAGCAGATTATATCTATTATTGATATATTTTAACAATGATAATTTTTACTTAAATACTTACGACGACTTTATTATAATTATGCTTTTAATGTGAATCATATAATAGGTATATTATTAATTTATACAGGGTTCGGCAAAAGTGCGTCAGGCATCTGTATGTAGCTCCAACAACCTAGAATAAAAAAACTTGAGAATTTTGTTTAAGTGTAAACCCGAAGTATGTACGAGGATGCGTATTTCAGGAAAATATTTTAACGTCATAGGGTGGCTTAAAAAAGTGTGAGTGGATCGGGATGATTTTTTTAAATGGAACACCCTGTATATATTATTGCATTTTTGGCTTCGTTTCAGAACACTTTTCGTAATCCTAAGATATTAATAAATAAACAAAAAATATATTATTTTTCAACATTCCTTAAATAAATGATTACAAATACAAGAACTGTCCTGGAATTAAAACTACATTAGGTATTTACTTTAGATGGTCTATACCTGCTTTGCTATAAATATCGTAATCTTAAATCACACACGGTGTTCAAAATTTTACGCCAAACTTTCTAAAATATAAAATAATTTTTCTTCCTTTTTTTAAATGGTATATTTTTTTTTTATTAGATGCAAAGTTAAAAATGAACATTTTCTCTATTTAAAGTATTTCAAGATTTTTAATGGTTTTGCAGATACACGCAGTATTGTTTAATATGACTCTTTAAACAGCATTTCAGGACAGTTCTTGTATTTTTAATAACTTTTTTAAGAATAAACACTGAAAAACATATATTATTTTTTATTTATTTATTTATATCTCTGAAACTATCTAAATATATTTTACCCATATCTTAGGATTATGTAAAGTGATCTAAAAGAAAGCCAAAATGTAATAATATAGAGAGTGTTCAATTTAAAAAAAATCATCCCGATCCACTCACACTTTTTTGAGCCACCCTATAGAAGTTAAAATATTTTTTTATATTTTATTAGTTATTATATTAACTACTATTAACTATTTATATACTGGGTAAATGAATTTGTATAGTATGACTTTTTTTGAAACTTTAGTTTCGGAGATATAAATTTATTTGGACCTTTTAAAAAAAATAATTTTTTTTTCAGAAACTATTTGAGACAGAGTTTACCAAAAATGCTTTTTATAACTACTGCTGGGTAAATGAATTTCTAGTACAGTATGACTTTTTTTGAAACTTTAGTTTTCGAGATATAAATTTATTTGGACATTTTAAAAAAAATATTTTTTTTTTCAAAAACTATTTGAGACAGAGTTTACCAAAAATGCTTTTTATAACTACTACTGGGTAAATGAATTTCTAGTATAGTATGACTTTTTTTGAAACTTTAGTTTCGGAGATATAAATTTAATCGGACCTTTTAAAAAAATTATTTTATTTTTCAGAAACTATTTGAGACAGAGTTGACCAAAAATGTTTTTTATATCTACTAGTGGGTAAATGAATTTGTAGATTAGATATATTTTTTGAAACTTTAGTTTCGGAGATATAAATTTAATCGGACCTTTTAAAAAATTAATTTTATTTTTCAGAAACTATTTGAGACAGAGTTTACCAAAAATGTTTTTTTATATCTACTAGTGGGTAAATGAATTTGTAGATTAGATATAGTATGACTTTTTTTGAAACTTTAGTTTCGGAGATATAAATTTAATCGGACCTTTTAAAAAAATTTATTTTATTTTTCAGAAACTATTTGAGACAGAGTTTACCAAAAATGTTTTTTATATCTACTAGTGGGTAAATGAATTTGTAGATATAATATATAGTATGACTTTTTTTGAAACTTTAGTTTCGGAGATATAAATTTAAAGGGACCTTTAAAAAATTTTTTTTTCAGAAACTATTAGAGACAGAGTTTACCAAAAATCCTAGAACATTTTATGTCTTGAACAAAATTCCCAAGTTTTTTATTCTAGGAGCTACAGCATATCCGACACTATTGCCGAACCCTGTAGAACGTATTGGTATATAGTACTCCGGTCCTGTACTGCCTCTATGCCCCTGTACGTCATAAGAATCTGTAATATTTGAACTCCATTTGTTTGCTACCTTGTTTTGTTTTAATTATAACTTAGTGACAATACTTTTGATCCACAATTAGTAACGTTAATTGCTCTCTAAGCGCAAGTAAATGTCGTTTTATAATTTGCTGCTAATCTGTTCGTTTACGTTGAATCTAAAAACAAGTTCCTAATATGGAGGGAAACATAGTCGATCCAAATGTTTCTGTGGAATTTGAAGTTTTTGGAAAAGTCCAAGGTAATTTTTATTAAAATTAATGTAACTATGTAACGTAATAAAGCCTATTAATTCATTTTAAGGCTGCGCATTTACAAAATACTGTAAAGAACTATGTGAACAGCTTTCGTTAACAGGCTGGGTAAAAAATACCAAAAAAGGTACTATAGCAGGGAAGCTTCAAGGTTCCAAATCTAAAGTGGAACAAATGTGAGTTTTTTTATCACCTATTTAAAATGCATGTAATTCAAAATAGTATTATATGTTAATTTAAAGCTTGTAAATTAGTGTTAATTTTTGTGTTAAATTAATTAAATTCATATTTGCTGCACAGACATGGTACAAACTATATACAGGGTGTTTCAAAACAAATGCGAAAAAATTCAGGGGGTGATTCCTTGTTCAAAATAAAGGGTAGTTTGCTTCATAAACGTTGGGTCAAAAGTCAACCATTAGGGAGATATCGCGGTACAAAGATGGCGGAAAAATAATGTTTTTATTTTTTATCTTGAAAACGAAAAGAGATAGACTAATACAATTTTATGGAAGCATTACTGTTATGAAAACACACTTTCTGGTCATTTTTTCACTTTCTTTTTTAAAATGAGTGGAAGGGGTTGAAATAAACTACCCCTATCATTCTTGTTAACGAAATTTAAAGAAAAATCTTATCAAACACATGCAAAAAAATTAATTTGGATAGTTTAGTTTGTTTAGAAACTTTTTTATCTCTTGTATTTTTTTGATAAAACTCACCGATTTGAAATTAAAAATAAAATGTAAAGCATTACATGTCAGGACAAAAACATTTTCTGATAAAGAATCTAGTGGGCTGCTGTAATTTTTTTTTAGGAAAATCTAGTCGGCCGCTGTTACTTTTTAGGATGTTCCTAATATTATTTTATTTGACATTACTCTACTGCAATACGTTATTATCTAGATGATTATTATTATCGTTATTATCACTAGATTCTTAATCTAAAATTGTTTTTTGTCCTGACATGTAATACTTTACATTTTATTTTTTAATTTCCAATCGGCGAGTTTTATCAAAAAACACAAGAGGTAAAAAAGTTTCTAAACAAACTAAGCTATCCAAATTAAAGCATTTGCATGTGTTTGATAAGATTTTTCTTTAAATTTCGTTAACAAGAATGATAGAGGTAGTTTATTTCAACCCCTTCCACTCATTTAAAAAAGTAAAAAAATTACCAGAAAGTGTGTTTTCATAACAGTAATGCTTCCATAAAATTTCATTAGTCTATCTCTTTTCGTTTTCAAGATAAAAAATAAAAACATTATTTTTCCGCCATCTTTGTACCGCGATATCTCCCTAATGGTTGACTTTTGACCCAACGTTTATAAAGCAAACTACCCTTTATTTTGAACAAGGAATCACCCCCTAAAGTTTTTCGCATTTGTTTTGAAACAACCTGTATACAGGGTGTCCCAGAAATAAATGCAAGTAGTTTAACTGGTAGTATATATAGTCCTCGATATAGTCTAAGAGCTGGCTACATAAAAAACCTTATCATCGTTACATGGCTAATTTTTTGTGTGAAGTATCCTTTTGTGTAGCCATTATGAAATAGTCATGTCTGCAAGCGCGATCCCGGGGCTTAAAACGGGGGCGGCCAATCGAAAGGGTGAAATTTTGACGCTAAAAATATTATAAGATACATGAGTTATAATTGCGAAAATAGCTTTTATTTATTATTAAGAAACGTAGAAAATTGTTGGCAGACATTTTTCTAGTCGCTAAAATGCCACAGACAACGCGAAAGAGGCATGAAATTTTAAAATTATTAAAAAATGAAATTTGAAGAATGAAAAAAATTATGGAATAGTTGCATGCCGACTGGTGAAATTCGAGTGAAATGTCATATTTATTTATTTTAAAAACCGTATGCAAAAGGGCAGACAAAAAGATCGTGGCTCAATCAGCTGCAGACAGTTATCAAAAGCGCGATATTATTCTAGCGCTTTATTCAGGGAACGCTGGCCGCCTCATCCGTTTAAGTATAGATAAATCATATAATATACGAATATATTATAAATATATTTTTTTATTATTTCAATAACGGTTTTTTTGTCTGCCCTTTTGCATACGGCTTTTTAAATTAATTAACAATAAACATGACATTCCACCAACCGACATGCTTGTATGCGATGATTTCCTTTCGTCAAAATTCTATGCCTCTTTCGCGTTGTCTGCCGGCATTTCAGCCACGAGAAAAATGTCTGTCAACAATTTTACACGTTTCTTAATAATAAATAAAAGCTATTTGGCAATTATAACTCGTGTACCTTATAATATTTTTAGTGTCAAAATTTCACCCTTTCGATTGGCCGCCCCCGCTTTAAGCCCCGGAATCGCGCTGGCAGACATGACTATTTCACAATGGCTACACAAAAGGATATACTTCACACAAAAAATTAGCCATGTAACGATGATAAGGTTTTTTATGTATTTATAACGATGATAAGGTTTTTTTATTTATTTATTATAAACAGGCTTACATTACTATATATTTTACTCTATTCATTTAACTGTTTTATACTTGGCAATACTGTAATTGCATCAAAAATCATAGAAATTTGTCCCTTTAAAATGCGACCCGCTCTGTCTTTGTCTAAAATCTCTGTCTCACTGTCTCATCTTGGCTTCATCTTGGATAATCTTTGCCTATACTAATTATTGGGAATAATACAATGATGATGATAATATTTATTTTTAGGGTTTATTGGTTATCTAATACCGGTTCTCCTGGATGTAAGATAGAGAGGTGCGAACTCGCTAACTGGCAAATGTTAGCCAGACCAGATTTTCCTAACTTTAGCATTAGATTTTGAGGCAAATATGTACTTGACATTATGTGTAATTATGATTTTAGAAAATTTATTTTTTTATAATACGAAATCGAAATGAATATAATTTATATTTGTACATTTATTATTTGTGATAGTGGTGATTTAATATCTATTAGTAATAAAAGATTACGATCGATCTATTTCTGCTCATTTGTCGACACGGCGTATACCTATCTATACTATACTATACCGTATGAATAAAAAAAACCGCATTGATTTACCTAACAAATAATTATTGATAACATTTTATTTTATTGCGAAAGCGAATGAAATTATTACGTGTAAAAAACTATTTGTTACACGAAAAAACTATTAGCGCACGCCGCACAATTTTTTTTATAGTTTTGTACTTCGTTTATGTTAAAATGTTTTGTGTTTTCGGCTTTTATAGTAATCTTTTATTATTGTGATATCCATTTATATTCTGTTTCTATGTGAATTGATAATCTTTTAATTAAATAAAAAGCATATGGCTCAAGATTAACTTTTCTATTTATAAGATTGTTGTAATGTCTATCGTAATAACAATATTATGTAGTTTATTAAAGCAGTGTTCATGTAGTTAATGGAAAAGACGTAGTTTTTGAAGAGAAATCAGGTA